AACAATGTAGACAATTACATTTTTGTATTTTATAGTTGAATTTGGGACTTGGATGGTTGGCGGGCGCTCTGGTGTGGTTTGCTCCTTTTTTCCCTATCAAAACATCTATTACTCTTTTGATATATTTTCTCTCCTCCTTCTTTTCTTGTGTTTGTCATTCTCATGTGACACCTCTGATCTTCGACATTTACAATGACCTAATTGTGTGGAAAGTGCCGTAAAACGCTGACTAAAACAAAATAAAACAAACGAAGCTGGGAATGTCATACTTTGACCTTATTTTTTTATTGTTTGGCTGGATTGTTTGCTGCTGTGTCATTATGTTTGAAAGGGGGGTGGGGGCATTATTATCTAACCTTAACATTGCTTATGCCGATATCATTTGTGTTATTTATAACATTTTGATTGTGCCATTCAACCGGATTTGTATTTAATAACATTACCTTCCACTTCCATTGCGCCATCGTACCAACGTTTGTGGTGTAGCGGTTTAGCGCCTCGTTGCTGCATGCCGAACACATGTAAGAAGAATTACATTTTTTATAAAGTAATATTAGTCTGTTTGCTGGGATACCGCTGATGTAGGCTAGTGTGAGCTAGCGCTACCCCTCTCAGCTAGGGTTGGTTTTGGTAGGCAAGGTAGGGGTAGCCCACCTCCTAAAACATCTATTTTGCGTTGATAGGGTTTGTATCGTTTAACGCTGAACGTTGATATCAAATACACACTGCCAATTAGATTGATAGGCTTGAGTCGGGACCAGCCTTATTGTTCTTTATGGGACAAAGGCTGCCATCTTGGGACAATACGACTGAATTCAATTAAATTCGATTATGACCTTCAAAATCAAACTCACTTGTTTTTCAAGGTCGCGATTCGAATCGGTCGTATTGCGTCGAAATGGAAGCCATTGTCCAATCCATGGAAGGAAAATCTGACTGGCCCAGACTAAACCAGACAAATCCGATTGGCAGTGTGCCCTGGCTATTATAACTGTACGGATACACCGGGATTCTCTTGTTGTCCGCCTGTCCATGCCTTTGACCTCTGGCCTGTATGTCTACCTCAGCTGTGCAGGACACGAAGAGTGACTGGGACAACAAACCTGACTACGTAGCCGTCTTCTCCAGCATCTTCCTCTTTTTTGTCGTCCTCTTCATCTTCACCGTCTTCGAAACGTGAGTACACACAGAGAATACTATGCCGTTGGGGAAATCGAAAAGCAAAACCTTGTTTTGTTGTATTGTTTGCTGTCGGGTTGGGATTTTTTTTATGTGTGTGTGTGTGTGGGG